ATATAGAGAGTGTGTGTGTGTGTGAGTGAGTGAGAGCGTGTAGTCGTGTACGTGTGAGTGCTATTAGGGCCTGTACTGTTGGATACCATTTTAAAAATACGACATATCTATCATAGCCTTCTGTGATCTATTTTCAGAAGGCTATGTATTTATTTACATATTTAGTACTTCGGAATATGAACAAATAAATTTCCCCTACGAGTATACGCTTTCAGTCCCCGTGGGTTCCCAGCCGCGATTTATCAGCCGTTACGCTGTTACTGACTTTTGATGACGGGTTTTTATAGTACCTATTTTTTACAATAATTAATGTAACCGGTCCTAATAGTTCGGTACTTTTATTTTCAACCATAATTAAATGCCGACGATTCAGTTTTCTACTGAGATACTCAGCTTACTCCCTGCGGGGAGTCATGTTTCACAAGATATTTTATTTATTTCATAGAGCCTTCTAAATTATACAGATATTTATTACATATATGAGTACTGTATGTACATATGTACATATGAACACTTTTTAAAATCCAACCAACCAATCGCAATTTACAGCAGGGATGGAACCGATATGTATTTATACATATTGTCAGCACTCAGCAGTAATAGCACCAGCAGATATATTTCTATACCCAAGAAGTGAAGTCTGTGGTGCACATATATCACGGTCAAGCACTCTCAATTCATCGCACGGAGCTGTTTAGTAGTACAATAACGACGACAGACAAGTGTTACAATTATGGGCTTTCAGGTGAACGAGAACTCGGGTAATTACATTCGTCAGTGGTTGCACGATCACATCAGCGAACCAGGTACCGACACAGTCAGACAACTACAAAGAGTGCAATCATGGCCACTTACTCTCATGGCCGAAGGCATGTCACTTCTTTCCGACGAAATTGGATACATTGTTCTTATCCCATTCGCTCTCCAATATCCGCAATACTTTCATTTGATCGCTTTACACGTGACAAATCTGATGCTCATGTGCTTCACAGTAGGGAACCAATTGAAGGATAGATTGAGGCTTCCAAGACCCAGGTGTGTAATATTTGAGCATATATCGTGCAGCATTCAAAACATCAATTTATTCATGTAAATATTATTAAAATAACAAAATTCTAAATATGTGCGTATAATTACATTCATTAGATATATCCACATTTAGAAACATGCCTCTCTCTATATATATATGTATATGTATATGTATGTATATGTAATGTAATGTAATGTAATGTAATGTAATGTATATATATGTATATGTATATATAAATTTTAATCTAAATCTAAATCTCAATGAAATGTGAATGTGAATGTGAATATAAATATACATATAAATATAAATATAAATTTATGTAAATATAAATATAAATGTATATGTATATGTATTTGCATATTTTTATGTATATGTAAATCTAAATGCAAATGTAAACGTAAATCTAAATGTAAATGTATGTGTATATGTATGTGTATATGTGTATGTATATATAGGAGTATCTGTATAAGTGTAATTATATGTAAATGTATATGTATATGTATTTGTATTTATTTATATATATATATATGTGTGTGTGTGTGTGTGTGTGTATGTACATGTATCTGCGAGTGTATTCGTATGGGGGTGCGTGTATGTATGTGTATGTGTATGTGTTGTGTT